CTTTGAGCCATTTGAGGTGATGCTTGGCAAAACCTTGAAGATTATGGGAGGGAAAATTTTGGGGTACAACAATGTGTATGGTATAAAAAGTGTTAGAGGTTTTTTATGAACTGAAACCGTATACAGATTTGAACAGGTGAATAGTTTTACGTAATAGATCTTATTACAAAATTAATATACAAAAATAACGTAATAATTTTAGAATAAAATATGAGCAAATAAATTATAATATAAAAATATTTGTGACATATGAATAGGTAAGCAAAATATGATAAGGGTTAACATATAATAAAACAGTAAGAACACTTCCAACAAAGTATAACAATAACAAGATTGAAGAAAACAAGTCATCAAGTATCATCATAATGCTTAAACAGAAAATAAATTAAAAAGATCAAAAGGTTGGCCTCATATGAAATCATTGGTCATTTGTTGGTTATTGTCTGATATAGACAACAACATGGTTTCAGGGTTTCTGTTTCGAAACCCTATAATAAACCTAAAACAAAAGTTTGAATTTCTGATGATTGTGAAATTGTGAATTTCTGGATTTGTGTGAAATTGTTTATTTTTGTTGATGAAAATTTAGGACAAACAAGAGTCCTATTTATAGACCTGGATTAGGTTTAAAAAACTTAGCAAGTAATTTATCCAAAATGAATGAAAAGCCCAAAGTTTAATCTTCAAAAAAGGAAAGAAAATTAGTAACAAACAATAGGAAAAAATGTTTTAAAGTGCAACACACAAGATTCGAACCCGCGAGCTCATACTTGCAAGCTTAATTCCTTAACAACTGTGCTATATTACTTATTCGAAATAAAAAGCCAATTGAAAGTACATGAAGACGAACAAGTATTTGTTTATTCAAAAATACAAATGATCTAAAATAAAATATTATATTTTTAAATAGGTTCAGAAGCGAATATTTATAAAAAATCAAAGAATATTATAAAACCAATGTTGAAAATATTTTTGACCATAGAAATAAAGGACTGACAAATTTGGGATATGACAATGTGCCAACTATTTATTTATGCTAGACCAACAACCAACCTGATTGTTTCAATTACAGCAACAGGTGCAAAAACTCCATCGAAGTCTATTCCTTCTTTCTGGAGAAATCCTTTCGCCACGAGCCTTGCTTTGTGTCGACTTACTTCCCCTTTAGGATTCATCTTCACTTTGTATACCCACTTTACATCAATTGCCTTCTTTCCTTGAGGAAATTCAACAAGTGACCAAGTGTTGTTGTCTTCGATGGACTTCACTTCTTCGTTCATCGCTTTCACCCACTTTGAATCTTTTAATGCTTCAGCTGTATTGACTGGTTGGACATCTTCATAGAAAGCATAGTGTACCAACTCACCTTCATCATCGAACACATCATCTGATGTAATCACACAATCTTGCAATCTTGCAGGCACGCGTCTTATTCTTTGAGGTCTGCTTGTACTTGGTTGATCTATAACTTCTTCCTCTTGTCTAACTTCCTCTTGTCGAACTTCTATTTCGACTTGAGTTTCTGGCTCTTCAAGGAGGATTCTCATTGAATATTTCTTGACGTTTTCGGTCCAAGCCCATTCTATAAGCTCATTGATGATCACGTCCTTTCTAATCACAATCTTCTTGTTCATTGGGTCTAACAACTTATAACCTTCTGTCGAATGATATCCTACTAGGATCATTTGACTCGACTTGTCATCAAGTTTTCTTCTCAACTGATCTGGCACATGTCTATGTGCTATTGATCCAAACACTTTAAGATGACTCAAACTAGGTTTTACACCAAACCAACATTCTTCTGGAGTAATTCCTTCTAGATTTTTTATCGGACATCTGTTCAAAATATATGTTGCGGTCAACACAGCTTCACTCTAAAATTCTTTAGATAAATCCTTGTCTTTCGACATACTTCTCACCATATTCATGACGGTTCGATTCTTCCTCTTTACAATTCCATTCTTCTGTGAAGTTTAGGGTGGCACCACCTCATGCACAATCCCTTCTTTTTTCACATAATTTGTCGAAGTCTTTCGACACATATTATCCACCATCATTAGTTCTCAAAACTTTGAGCTTTCAACCACTTTTCTTTTCGACCATAGATTTAAACTTGGTAAATACCTCGATCACTTCACTTTTCTTCTTGATCAGGTAAATCCATAGTTTTCGACTAAAATCATCTATGAATATGACAAAGTATTTATTATCTCCATTAGAATCCACCTAAATTGGTCCACATACATAAGAGTATATGACTTCGATAATAGCCTTTGACTTGCTTCCTGCATCCTTGTTGAAGTTATTCTTGTGTTGCTTCGCCTGCACACATTCCTCACACACCTCGTTCGGAATGTCGATTTCTAGCAATCTTGAAACCATATTTTTTTCTCTTCAAATCTCCGATATCTTTGAAGTTGAGATGGGCTAGTCGATAGTGCCATATCCATTCATCACTGCTAGCTGCAGTCGAAAGACACCTGTGCTCCATCACATTTTGATCAATCTTGAAGTTTCTATTTTGAGACATGAGAGCCTTCAATGTTAACCTTCCATTTGCGTCAATGAATCTCATTATCTTGTCTTTGATCGACACTTTATAGTTCTTTTTGACCAACTGGCCTATGTTGAGAAAATTGCTCATCATGCCTGATATGTATAACACATTGGAAATTACTAACCCCTTGCCATCTTTCCTCATAATCATAACATCACTAATACCTTTAGCTACAAGGATATTGTCATTCACAAATTTCACCATGTTCTTCATTGAGGGCTTTATGTTGAAAAACCAATGTTTACTTCCAGACATATGTGATGAGCATCATGAATCCAAGTACCATTGGTTCTTGAATCTATCTTCATCTTTTGTTGTGACCATCAACATCATCTCTTCTTATTCATACTTTGTGAACTTTGCATCACTTTCTTGATTCTTTTTCTTTTATGGACAATCACTAGAATAGTGACCGTACTTCTGACATTTGTAACACTGAGTCTGACTCTTGTCAGGTTTTTGACCATCATCTCTTCCTTTATTTGCAACACCACCTCTTTGGTTGACTTGGTATGATCTTCTCTGATTTGACACGTTTTTTCGTGTTGGTTTCATCTACCTGTCGAATTGTTGTAGCCAACTCTACCTTTGTTGTCGAACCATTTTCCTTTGCCTTTCTTATCTTTTGCTAATTGAGCTTACAAAACCATATCACTCTTTGACTTGCCTGCAACTCTTTCAGCCATTCTTTGTTCATGAGATTCAAGCGTCCCTTGAAGTTCTTCCTTCGACAAATTTGATATGTCCTTCGACTCTTCTATGACAACTATCACATGGTCGAACTTCAGAGCCAAAGATCTCAAGATCTTCGAAACAACTGCTCTTGTTGTTAACGTATCTCCACAAGTCTTGATTTGATTCACTAGTTTCGTAACCCTGGTGAAGAAATCAGATATGCTCTCGCTATCTTCCATCTGAATCAATTTATACGTCCTTTTGTGAGTTTGTAATCTCACCTCTTTTACCTTCTCAGCGCCTCCAAACGATTTCTTAAGAATTTCTCAGGCTTCTTTTGCAGATTCAACATCACTAACCTTTTCGAAATTGTCTAGGCTGACACATTGGTGAATCATAAAGAGAGATTTTACAATTCTTCTTCTTCTTCTTCAATTCTTTGTATTCCGCCTCTTCTTTTTCTGAAACATCTTCATCAAGTGGTTCTAATCATATTTTACAAGTTCCCAATAATCTTGAAAACAGAATATAACCTTCATCTATTTGCATCAATTCTCATGGTTGTCACCTTTCAGAATTGGGAGATTTGATGGAAAATTTTCACTTGCATAATTCATCGCCATTGATTTTCTTCTTCTTCCCTTGATCGCTCAACCGGAGTTCCTGATACCAGATGTTGTAATCCACAAAAATCTATGATGAATTTTTATCAATCTTGATAAACAAGATTGTTATCACCACACAATAACGATGAAAAAAAATGAAAAAAGAAAGAAAGAGAAGACAATGATTTTCTGCAGAGTTTCTCTACGCCCACAAACTATGGAAAATTTCTTATTCACTTGCAACTGAAAATTCTATGAATACAACTTGATTTTTAAAATTAGGGTTAGTCCCTCTATTTATAGATTTATGTTAGTTTGCTCTCTAAGCCAAAACCCAAAACTATAAAAACCCAAAATACCTATTTTAGAACTAAATCAAATCTATCTATTTTAGATCTAAATCAAATATGTATGTAACAAACTGTTTCCACAATTCGATAGACTAATTCAACATTTTCTTATTTTCTGTCGAACAAACAACTTTGACACAAGGAATTATATCTTCAAAAGACTTGTGTTCGTGTTTATATTTAAATTTTTGTTCTCTTGTTATTTCTTTTAATCTATTCTACTATTAAAAAAAACTTGGTTTTTAATTTTGTTTATTACTGGTTTCATTTCCATTGCATGTCTTTAAAGTCATGATTATGATTATTAAAACACACTGATAACTAAAATAAAATCATTAGTAAAGTTATCATAATTTTTTTAATAAATTCTTAATTACTCTAATTGATTTATTGAGTAACCATATTTAAAATTATATGGTTCATCAAATATAAAATATTTTTCTTAAACTAGCTTATTTTATCAATATTAATCTTCCTTAAAATATTATCTATATATTAAATATTACCCTTAAAGATATTTTATTGCTCATTTAAACTAGGTAACTAAACGTTATAGATAATATACGATATCGTATGGCTCATTTAAACTAGGTAAGTAAACGTAATACATACCATAATGTTTATCTACTTTTTTTTTTTAATTTAATAGTTTAATAGTAATAAGTTTGTCTGCAAATTCAGTGATTTTTCCTCTGTTTCTCTCCCCTGCTCTGACCACCGTATCATTCAAATGCTCCCAAAACACTCTTCACTCATTCATTCATCATCACTATATATAAACCAACACCCTCTTGTTTTTCTTCTACGTTTCTAATGGAAAATCTGCTTCATTTCCGCGTCATTCTTCTCTTTCTCTCTTCCCTTTTTCTTCTTCAAATTCGAAACGTAACGTCTTTCAGAAACGAAGATGATTCAGAAGCATGGGGTTACGTTCAAGTCAGACCTAGTGCGTTTTTTCATTCTTTTGTTCTTGCGTACTTTGTGTTTGTGAAAATACTACACTGAGTTTTATTAGTTAATTTCATTCTTGTTGTTGTTGCAGAAGCGCATATGTTTTGGTGGCATTATAAGAGTCCTTACAGAGTAGAAGATCCTTCTAAACCATGGCCAATTATTCTGTGGTTGCAGGGTGGTCCTGTAAGTAGAAAAGAATAACTGAATTTTTAACAAGAATCCATTTTCTGAGATTTTGATAACTTTGAATAGGGTGCTTCTGGTGTTGGAATTGGAAACTTTGAAGAGGTTGGACCTTTGGATACTAACTTGAAACAAAGGAATTCAACATGGTTGTTGAAAGCAGATCTCTTGTTTGTGGTAATGAATGACTCATACAACTCATCACCCATCATGAACATGAACATAGACTTTTTCTTTTGCTTTGCTGTAACAATTGCTTTTTTAGATTTTTTTTGTTTTAATTGATTTGGTTGTGATTTGTTCATCAATAGTAGTAATAGTCAAAATTAAAAAATGCTTTTATGTATATGAATGGTTGTGATTTGTTGAGATGATAAAACTTTTGATAGTGATGGTTTTTATCAAAATTAAAATCTTCTTTTTGACTATGTGATTCTAATCACATATTTTAATAACAAACACAGGACAATCCAGTTGGGACAGGGTACAGTTTTGTGGAGGATGAAAAACTTTTTGTGAAAACCGATGAGGAAGCGGCCACAGATTTGACAACTTTGTTAATTAAGTTATTCAATAATGATGAAAAACTCCAAAAGAGTCCTCTCTACATTGTGGCAGAATCCTATGGTGGTAAATTTGCTGTCACTCTTGGATTATCTGCTCTTAAAGCTATTGAAGACAAGAGATTGAAACTTACACTTGGAGGTAAGAGTTTTCTCTTGAATTGCTCTGTTTTCGTATACCAGATCTCAGATTGGTTTTATTCAATTTATGGTTACTAACTTATTATGAAATGATGGATCCTTTTGTATAAAAATATTTTTATAACATAGTAACTTGAAGAAATTTATGATTATGGGAAACTTTTTCTCATGTAGGTGTGGCATTAGGAGACAGTTGGATCTCACCAGAAGATTTTGTGGTGTGTGATAAGTTGTTCTACCAATATGTTTATTTTGTTGAACATTGATTTTAAATTGTAGTTGTGGCTAAGGTGCAAACCTTTTATATTGCGGATGCAATTGGGGTTGCGAATTGTGATTTAAGTGTATGTTTGGTTTCACGGCTAGCACATTTAGAATTGATTCTGGAGCACTTTGGTTGCTCTCAAATATAACTGATTCTGCTCTCTAGAATTGATTTTAATTGAAATCAGATATGTAGCTTTTGAGTATAAAGTGATTTTTATCCTGAAATTCACTTACAACTCATTTTTGCAAGAATTATTCGGTCATAAATCACTTTACATGCAAACTCACTTTTAGTCCGAATCAATTTTACATTTTCATCGCAAAACCAAAAAAACTCCAAAACTATTTGAACTTTTACACATTTCATGTTTGATCTGAATTTGCAGTTATCATGGGGTCCTCTCCTCAAAGACCTCTCAAGACTCGATGAGAATGGACTGGAAAAGTCAGACAGGTAAATATGTTTAATACCATTTTCTCAATTAGAGAAACAAAATGCACAACAAGAAGTGGTATGTTATAATCTATAGAATGAACGTGTTTCTTTCTAATCTAATAACCCCATTTTGAAAATCAGTTTAGCTCAGAAGATCAAGAAGCAACTTGAAGATGGTAAATTTGTTGAAGCAACTGATACATGGGGTGACCTTGAGTCAGAGATTTCTGCTAGCAGCAACAATGTGGTAACTTTTCATTCTACTTCTATTTCCCCCTTAAATGAGTTCTCTTTCTAACCACAGTTTGTTTTTTCAAATTATTATCAGTGTTGACGTATTTGTTGTCAATGTTTCACAGCTCTTATGTAAAAAGTATTTTTTTTTTGTTGAATGTAGGATTTTTACAATCTCTTGTTGGATGAGGGAAGTGATTCAGCAACCATATCAGCATTGAAACTGGGATTATTCAAAGAAACATCAATGAAGCGGTACTCCAAGTATCTTACTTCCAAAAGGACAAGATCTTATTCTCCTGGTGGTGATAATGATCTTGGCACTTTACTAAACGGTGTTATAAAGAAGAAGTTAAAGATCATCCCTGAGAATGTCACGTAAGTCTATAATTCCTTAACCATGAATGATAAGTTTTGTTCATAGTTTCATTGCAAAAAATCCATGACATGATTGCTTAATAACTGTGTATTCGATAATAGATGGGGAGGGCAGTCCGATAAAGTTTTCACCTATCTTGGAGGTGATTTTATGAAGCCAAGAATTGATGAGGTAAGAATATTTTTTTAACCTATGAAGCACGGACACTAGACTCCATACTTATCTGTTGATACTAATCAGTAATCACAAGTGTGGATGGTTTCGGATATTTGATGTGATTTAGTGTTAACTTCTGCAGGTTGATCAGCTACTGGCTAAGGGAGTCAATGTGATTGTGTACAATGGACAGGTAAGAGTCCTTTTCCACTATTTAAATGTTTTGACAAGTTGACTTGGTCTTAAAGAAGTTAAAGTAATCAAATTTTCTTGTTTGCGTGCTTTGACAAACATGATTTTTCTTTACGTTTAATCATATGATACTTTTATTTGATGTGTTTTTTAATGTAAGCAATAGCATCATAGTGTGACTTATTCTTATAGGTTGATCTGATTTGTGCTACCAAAGGGACTGAAGCTTGGGTTAGGAAACTCAAGTATGCATTTTTTTTCTCTTTCTTTCTTTCTTACTTTCATTGCTACCAAAGGCTAATTCTCTATCCCTCTCTTCTCTTTCTTTATTCTGTAGGTGGGAAGGGCTAAAAAATTTCTTAGGGAAAGACAGAACAGCCCTCTACTGTGGAAATAACAAAACAACCAAAGGCTTTTTCAGGTCATACAAAAACCTACAATTCTATTGGATTCTTGGAGCTGGCCATTTTGTAAGTCAACATTTAATCAGCTTGCATAAGTTTTCATTCAGATTAAATTATAAAGAAATTATAAAGAAAAAGTGAGACAAAGGCATTTATTATAATGAGTATGTACCACCATTTGGATTAAATAAAATACAGTACTAACCAGGGATAGTGTTCTTACTTTTGAGACTCTTGAGAAAAATAAAATACTGTCTTTCTGACTATGTTTCATTTTGTTGTGTGGTTGTTGATACTTGATGTAGGTACCTACTGATCAGCCTTGTGTTGCATTAGGAATGATAGCTTCAATTACACAGTCACCAGCTGCTTGAAAAGGAAAAAAATCAGTACTATCTTTAGAATAAATTAAAGAAAGAAAATTCATTGTGGATCAGGGAAAGAAGAACAGCAATAACCTCATGGAAAAGAAGAGAATTACTGGGGTGTTATTTATTGTTTCTTTTTACATTGTCATTCTTTTTTCTTGTCCTTATTGTTAGTATATAAAGGAATAAACATGTACTTTTTCATTTGAGTTTGGTGATTCATGGAGGTTTCTGTTTTCTGAATAATAAATGTAAAGTAACTTAAGTGTGTCATTTATTTATTGTTGAATGATAGTTTATATCCAATGGCATTCATGATGAGAAGATACTTTTCATCGGTGGATGGTTAATGACATAATGATGACTATCCCAACGTAATAATGAGCACAAACGACCACTTTTGACTCTTTAAGTATTTTTTTATTCTTTCAATTCAATAATACATAGTTAATGATAAAGTAATTTATATTTTTCCACCAAAAAAAGTAATTTATATTTGTATACAAGTTTGAATACCTTAAAAATGGTGTTTTCTTCTTTCAATAAGAGAAACAATTGACAAGTGAACGTGTGAGATTAGACGTGAATTGTGATACGTCGTCAGATTGATTTGGACTGTTAGTAGAATATTTGTGTGAAGGATTGTCTATTGAGTGTGAAAAAAGTGTCCACTTGTTTGCACTTAACGTTCTATTACTTTATTAGTAAGCTTTTGATATTTGGGCCTTATAAACGGTCCATAACACTCTTCATGTCATTTCACACCTTGTTATTATCCATTAAACCTAATTCTTGGGATCTCTAATCTATTAGGTTGAGTTGCTATTATAAGTGGTTCATTGATGTAGCGGAAATAGTCACATCCTTTTGGATGTGTTTTGAAATTTCTCCCTAACAAATCCTTTCGTCAAAAGGTTAACTAAATTTTCATCAGTGTGTAAATGATTGACTCTAACAACACCTTTAGAGAGATACTTTCTAGAAATGTTGTGCTTATGCAAATTTGTCATCTATTAGTGTTGTAGTATCAATTCTCAAAATTTCAATATATGTGGTGTTATCACAATGGATCAAGACACCAGACATCAATCTTTCCCATAATAGAATTTCTTCTAGCAATCATCTAACAACTTGCTTCTTCATTAATCATTGCAAGATTTGCCATTTCTGATATCATAGAAGATAAAACATGAGTCCTTTGTTTCTAAGATTTCCAAGAGATTTCTACTCCAACTATATTAAAAATGAAACCGCTAGTTGCTTTGAAATCATCGGGCAATGTGTTTCGATCAACATCATTGTACCCCTCAAGGTTAGTAGGACATGTTTGATAATGTATATGAGGTTCATAAACTTTTTAAGGTACCTCGTGACACTCTCGATAATGTGTCAAGACTCGATATTACGTCTACATGATAGGTACAACACAACCAGTGACATAGCTTACGCTGCCAATGATGCTAGCATGTTGATGTTGTCTTATGCTATCACTAGTTTTCTTGAAGAGTTTAACACTTGGATCATATAGAGTGAAATCAAATATTTAGTAAAATTAATAACATTTCTTTAAGATCTTTTCAACGTAGTGAGACTAATCAAAATCAATTCACTTTTCTAATCTAGTAATCTTAATATCAAGGATAACACTCGCTTATCCAAGGTCTTTTGTAACACCCCGAATTAAGTTTAATTATTTAATTGAGTTTAGCTCCATTTTTATTTTATTATTTGAATGATTTAATATATTTTTATTATTATTTGGTGAATATATGTGGCATGGGGTAATAATGGGTATGTTTATGGGAGTTAGGAAGAGTGGTAGAAATTAATTAGAATTTTTTAACCAATCTTAAAATGAGTATAAATATAGAATAATAAATAAAATAATATAAAATAGTGATATTTGGGTGAAAATTTTATATATTGGAAAAATAAGTAAAAAATGGTGAAAGTAGGGACAAGTTAAGGGAAATGTGGAATAATTAGAAACATGAAAATTAAGTTAATATTAATAGGAAGGTTTAGTGAGAGCAAAAAATTGTCGGTACATGAAATTGGAATTTGGAGGAAAAGAGGCAAGAGGCAAACCTTAGAAAACCTTTGTGGGAGAAGAAGAGGGACATCATAACCAAGTTGCATTTGCTGGAAATTCAGGTAAGGGGATAAACTACTTTAATATAGGTGTTATTACATGAAGGGTAGAGAAGGATCATCATCCTCCTCTAGGTTCTTTTCACCATTGATGTGTTTATGAGCTTTTGTATGTGAATATAAGAAATTCATGATAATTGCCAAGTTTTTTGTGTAAATTTGTGCTCTATGTGTTCCTGAAATTTATACTTGTTGAATGAATGAGAATGTGAATGTAATAATTTTAATTGTTGGATGTTTGAGTTTATGAACACAACCTTAAATCCTTGAAAAAGTAATGATTTTGAGTGTTAATTGATGAATAAATGTTGTTTGATTGGTGGATAATATGTATCTATGTTTTTCTGTTTGATTTGGGATACCGGAAGTCAGAATTAGAGCTCCGAATAAGCTCTGGTATGGAAAATACAAATTTGGGTGCCTGCATTAGCGTGATGGTCATCACGAGCATGACAAGCAGACTGTCATGCATTTTAGGCAATTGACTGTCATGGTCTCCAAGAAGAATTTCTTTGTCAATCGTCACCCACATGAAGGTCTTGTGAAGAGAGAGTGTGACGGGCTGGGTGACGAGTTGATCATCACTGTAACATCCTGAATATTATAATTCATTAGATGATTGTTGTTTGTAATTTATATGATGCAATGTGCGGTTTTATTATTCTATGTGTGGGGTAGTGCCATATTAAAGTAGTGACAAGAATTATTTTTAATTTAAATAATTTATTTGGAATTATTTAGATTTAAGAATAATTGTTTAGAATTTATTTAACATTTAAATGGAATAAAATGTGTAAAATGTATAGGGAAAGGTGGTAATTGTCATGAGATTTAGTGAGGATAAGGAATGAATGTCATATTAGGGGTCTAAGGGCTAAACTAGTAAAATGGAAGAATAAAGAGGAGAATCGTATCATTTGGAACGATCGTACTCTGAGAGAAGTAGAAGCACGAAGGTGAGAAAGAGTTAGGGAAAGAGAAGGCCATTGTTGAAGCTTTGGAACCATCAATCTAAGGTAAGGGCGGGGTTCCAACTTTCTAAAAGAATTGTATAATGATGGGTAGATTAAGGATTTTAATTGTCATAGTTGTTGGGTGCTTTGGTTCATGAAAATTATTATTTTGTGTGCTTGAATTCATGTGATAGAATATTGATATAATTGTGTTTAATTGGTGAAATTGATGTTATAGAATGAATAGAAATGTTGTGTAATATGCAAGTATAAATTATGGAAGTGAGAAATATGTTCTTGATTTCAATTTGGGGTTTTGGGGTGGAAAAGAAAAGCTTTTCGTACACAAAAATAGTAGAAATTGATTCTGCAAGTGAAGTAACCAATTACCATATTTGGAGTAACCGGTTACCTGAACAAAAATAGGGGGACGATAGCTCTATCAAGTTGAAGTAATCGGTTACCTGAGACTAAAATTGTTTTGCTGAAAGCTTCAAAAATTCATAACTCCAGTTGTGGAGATCTGATTGACGCGTGGTTCGAATTGTTAGAAAACTGGTTTAATGTAATTTATCACAAAAATATTTTTAGTACCATAATTCCAACTATTTGATACGTGGGTGGATGTTTCGTACAGTCGAGTTATGTCGTTTAGTGAAAATTGTGTAGAAGACTTGTATAATTGGTTATTGAGGATGTTCTACTTCTAATGATGTTATATGAATTTGTCTGAGTATTGTGGATTATATGTTGTATGTGTTATCAGTTGGTGGCCTGTAATTGCATGTTACATTGATGGATGTGGATATTAACGTATGGTATTTTGTTACATTAATGGATGTGGATATCAATGTATGGTATTTTGTTGCATGACTATGTCGCATGCATTCATGGTGAAGACTTTAGTTCCATTGGTGGCTCTAGTCCTAGATGGTGTGGATCGGGAGCAATGTTAATCTTATTGTTCACGATATTGGTGGCTCTGATCCTAGATGGTGTGGATCGAGAGCGAGTGAACTTAATTGTTCATGAATGGTACCACATGCATTGAGTCTGAGTCGGTGTCATTGCATTACATTGTCATTAACATAAATATTTGAGTTGTGTGGTGGGTCTATGTATTACATGATAATTCGATGATATCTGCTAATGACAGGTGATTGTACAATTAACATGTAATAGGATTGTTGTTGGTTGTGTGAATGTGTGAGATGTGGAATGTGTGATTATGCATGAATATATATATATATATATATATATATATATATATATATATATATATATATATATATATATATATATATATATATATATATATATATATATATATATATATATATTGTCTACTTATTATAATACATTTCTTTATATTGTTGTGACATCTCACCTTCTGTTGGAATTATGCTTTATACGACATCGTGAAGATAGTCAGGAGTAGTTTGAGGCTGCGGAGGTCAAAAGAGGTTGCTCTTTATTATATTTCGAGTTGATGTTATTGCTTTGATACATAACACCGAGAGGATGAACATTTAGTTATTTCGTTGGTTTTAAATGATTTGTTTGGAGTCTTTTAAACTCCTTATTATTTAAATAAATCTTTAGTTATTTTTCAATGTTATTGATTTAATTCCAAGTATGATTCTTTTTCCGCTTCTTAATAAAAAGTAAAGTTGAAGACAATGATTTGTTATTTTTGGTTCATCTATAGTTGCGTTATGTATTCTATACATGTTATGAGCACATTTTGTATGTATTGAAAAATATAGCATCCTAATCGTATGTTGAATGTTTTAAAAATATACTCTGATTTTAATTATTATTCTTCGGGGAAAATTAAGATCTTACATAATGGTATTAGAACTCGTCGATTCGTTTGGCCAAGTTGTTGAGTCTGTAGTGTGG